AGATTATTATTCAAGCCGTACCCATTTCAGGTGCGTCTTGTTATAGTTCTGTCCATTATTAGAATGTACAAGATGTGTATTATGAATTATCATGACCTCGTTTCGGTCTGATTGTGTTGATATTTCTTTGTAGTAAAAATGAGTCTTGACTTGAAAAGAGATTTTACTGAACAACTGATACTGTACTGATTTAGGCTGCGATATCTTGTATGTGTTGTTTTTTGATCGCCTAGTCGTGGGAAAATGAGAGGGGAATTTTTTTTATTTTGCTATTGATCAATGTTTGAACCATTTTTAACGACATTTTCTATTGCTGAAAGATGCTATCGCCACCATCCCTCTCTCTAAATATAGAGCATTAAACACATTCTAAACATACTGCTAGGAGAATAACCCAGAAAATAATAAATACGTGTATCGCTGTTTAGAAAAAAAATAGACGGACGAACATCTTTACATACAAGTACGAGGTTCACATGAGCCGTACTGAGTTAGGGACTCCAACAAACGTTAATTTTGTTTGCTTGTTTGTGTTTTGTTTGTTTGTTTGATTGTTTGGTTGTTTGTTTGATGGCTTGTAAGTTTGTTGAAAAGGGTTGGGAGGAGCATGTTGAAGACTTCAATATGTGGATGGCCCAGTTCGTATTTTTTCTAACGGTAGCTTGAAGTTATGGAGTACCATAACTTTGTTCGTTTGTTTGTTTGATTTTATTTTTGTTTTTATTTTATTTTTGCTTTGTTTTTGTTTTCTTATGTTTACATGTTTGTTCTCGGTGTGAGTGGGGGGGGGGGGGGGTGGAGTCTAGGATTTTGAATAATTTTGATACAATTGTAGCACAATTTGTGTGTCTTTTAACCGAAGTTATACCATTAACTTACTACACTATATCTAGGTCTATAGACAGTAAGTCTATGAGTTAAACGGATTTTTCCCGTTCCCCAGATGGAGCTGGGCGGTGTCCGTGTGTGTTCTGACGGCAGCAGCCATGTTGAGCAAGGAACAGGCTCTGACCGTGTTGGCGGTGTGTGCTGTGTATGATGTGTTCGTGGCACACAGGGCGACACGCGGGGATGTGCTCACTCTGAGGGTTCTAACACAGGTATGGTTTATGTTTTTTTCTCTGGTTGTTTCTTTAGCACAAAGTTCCTACATTAAAAAAAATTCGATAACAACAAGGCAAGAGGGCGACCGAGAAAGACCTGGATAGATGGAGTCAGAGAAACATTAACCACCCACGGCATCCCCCTGACCCAAGCTCTCCGGCTGGCGACAGAGACACGTCTCTTTCTTCCTGCGACACCCAAAAGGGTATAAGCGGCGGGTAACAGTAAAAGTGAAAGTAGCTGTCTCTTTGTTTGTTCGTTCGTTTTTTTGTCTGTCTTTCTGTCTGTCTGTCTGTTTATCTATCTATCTATCTGCTTTCCCTGCTCTTCTCTCTCTCCCCGTCTCTCTATCACTCTCCCTCTCCCCGTCTCTCTATCTTTCTCCCTCTCCCTTCCTCTTTCTCCCTTCTCTCTGTTTCTCTCTCAGATTCTCTCTCTCTCTATCTCAAACACTCTCGCTCTCTCTCTCTCTCTTTCTCTTGGTAGACGGTTAATTTCCATTTCACTGGCCCGGAGGACGAAAAAAGAGGAGGAAAAGAAGAAAAAGAAGAAGAAGAAAAAGAAGAAGAAGAAGAAGAAGAAGAAGAAGAAAATATAATCCAGGATCCATTGAATCGAACTGAATGAAGTAAAGAAAATCAAATCTGCATGTACCATCCAAACATCTCACCCCAAGCTTATTTCCATAACACGTACATGGGCACTTCTCTAATCTACTTAATTATTCCTTAGCCGAGACCCAGATTTACAACAAAAAAAGGAGATCGTTATTTAAATCTCTCTCTCTCTCTCTCTCTCTCTCTCTCTCTCTCTCTCTC